GAAATCCCGGTCGAAGAGAAATTGGTCTTGACTCTTGAGCAATTGTGTCCTTAAGGCTTTTGTTTATGTTTTATTGGTGTGCTTTTTCTTTTACTCATGGTTTTGCGACAATGTGTTTTACTCATATTAATGTGAAACATTTCTCACCTCCCTACCCCTGTTGACTTAGGAACTAACTCTCTCCACCCCTTCCAGGTAATGGGACTCTTTCTTTGGTTATATTACACTTTTTTTTACTGGGATCTGCTATGTCTATGACAAAACTTTCTGTGTCTAGGTTTCTAGTATTGTTTTTATATTTTTTCATATGTTTTTATTTTTTTTTATTTGGTATGTTCCTATTATATAATTTGTTGATTAGTGATGTCGCGAAAAATCAAAATGGATGCTGTCCAGGAGGTGGGAGGGTCTGGGAGGGAGGGTCTGCTGCAGATTGGCCGGGATGTGTCTGCTGACTGGAGCCCATGGCGAACGGTTCGTGACATCATTATTCATGATAATTGATTGTAATAATGCAAAAACCTTCAATAAAAACGGATTAAATATAAAAAAATTTTTTTTAAAAAGACATGGTTTGCATGGAAATATAAGATACCGACAACAAAAGATTACATTTAGGAAGTTGCTTTCTTTTTTTTGTTTAATTTTTTTACAGTTTCTTACCATTTCAGGGACATTAGTAGACCAGAAGTGAACGTGGTGAGCGAAATTAAATAATTTAGTCTTCCGCATAGATTTCTAAATCCACATGCTTGATTTTATATTATCCATAATTCACATCACTACTATGGCTGGTATCATGACTGATTTTCCCAAGTATTGCTGTTAAAATCGTAAGTGTGAACAATGAATAGAATCTACTGCATTGGAGACAATTCTGACAAACTGATTGTTTGTCACCTTAAAGCTTCACGCTCAGCACCAAAACAACTTTGCACTCTTGATAACCTGATTATATATGGTACAATGAGCCTGCACAGCTCCGAAAGTGGCATAGAATTAAAGCAATTGGATGAAATCAATGCAGATATAAGTTAGTACATACCTCCCAACAACCCAATTCTGGTCAGGAACGGTCATGATTTTTGGGTCCAGATTTCGTTCCCTGTAGTCCCACCTTGGTGTTCCCAACAAGCATAGCACAAGTGCATCATTAGATGCCCTTGCGTTATGTTCAGGGCACTAGGATCCTGCAGGGAATATTGAAACCGTGCTCCCTGAGGGTTTGCCCTCATTGGGCTGGCTTAAATTACATCAGTGGTCTTAACGAGTTTCACTATTAAATGGCTCTCTCAAAACACTGTTGTGAAAGCTATTGAATGGCAAACCGTGTTAAGCGTATCATAATATTGTTTTATATAGTATTTTTATTCTTTTTTCATATTTTGTTGTTTTTTTATCAATAAAAGTACTTTACTGCTCGATTCCTGAACACCTTATCCTTGGTGGGGATGCCACCTATGCCTGTTGGACAGAGTAAACCTTATTTGCTCTATCAAATGTGAGTAGATTTTATCTAGTTCATTTTAATAAACATCCCCGTCTGGGCTATCAAATTTTAACAAGCCATAGAAATAAGGGTGGGATGTTGTTACATCATTTATATTATTATTATGACGCAGCATTGCTGACTAGACTACGAGAACGGACTAATATGGAAGCGCGAAGATCCTGGTATACTTTAGAGCAAAGCTTCACAAAAGTCCCTCTGTATAATCTTTTATGGTTAAGTTGTTAAGTTGTTCTATAACTAGGCTTAACCCCACATCTCATCCTCTGTTATTAAGTATATTCAATTTATGGAGGAAATATAAAACTAAGTGGCATTTATCCCATGGAATTTCACCATTATATCAATTGGCAGGAAACCCTGACTTCCATAAGGGAGAAGGAGGTCCATTGTTAACTCGTCTGATGGGTGAATTTGGGGGAAACTTAAAATGATTACTACAAGAAAATACAATCCCAACTCTAAATGAATTGCATGGCACCTCTAAAACACCAACGTTGCCAGACACATTGATCTATTCTCAACTTGTTACCTTTCTACAAAAGGAGGTTCTCCCAGATTGGATACCTAGAGAGCTTACCTCCTTTGAGTTGTTCTGTATTTCCAAACTGCAAGGAATACATTCTCTATCTAAGATATACACTATGATACAAATAGGTGTAATGGACGAGGCACCTGTTCATTTTTAAACTAAATGGACAACTGCTTTACATATACATATGTCGGCTGATGACTGGTCTGATATTTTTGAAAAGTAATGATGAATTCGGTTAGTCAGACTAAAAGGGAATCGTTTTATAAACGGGCAACGTGGTGGTATAGAACCCCTGCATTATTGCATCGTTATTTTCCAAAAGTAGACAATAAATGTTGGGGGTGTGGGCTTGAGGAAGGTACTCTCGGACATATTTGGTTGTTTTGCACAAATATTCAGCAGTATTGGAAACAAGTACTTATATATATATATTAAAGAATTTTACTTTTATCATATGTTTTAACTCCCTCGCAGTTTTACTTGGATAGCCTAATTCCTTTTCTGTTATAAAGCAACAGAAGCTACTGGGTTTTTAATTAATGAGGCCAATACTTTAATTCCAGTTGTCTGGAAAAAAAATTATTATCCCGACAATAGAAAATTGGGTAGAGAGAGTCGAAGAGACTAGGCTAATGGAGGAACTTCATTGGGGCGCAGAAAATAAAAATAAAATTATTTTAAGATATGGAACCCTTGGATAAATTATTGGTCTTCAAAAGGAGAGGTTGTATAATATATAATGTGATATATTTAGTTGTTTTATTATAATTGGTTGTCCCACCGCCATGCAGTAGCCAAAAACTCAGTAACTGTAATAGCAAATGGAAATTTAATTTAATATATTGCAGTTTAAGATATTAATTTGATTCTACATGAGACCAGAGGTAGGGAAAGACTATATTATATAATAATTTTCCTGTTCTACCGGTCACATTGTTTTTCATAAATAAGACTAAGAAGAATGTGTGATTAGAATTGACGCAATACGCTGATTATATTGTTTATGTGTATGTTATTTTATTTGTTTATTTTTATTTTTTTGTATAAATAGTATCAAAAAACAATATAAATGCAATACTACAAACTAATATAGAATGTTTACAATTTGATGCATTTGTTGTAATATGTTACATGAAAAAAAAAAAATATATATATATATATATATATATATATATATATATATATATATATATATATATATATATATATATATATATATATATATATATAATATATCCTTTGCACATGATAATCAGCACAGAGAAAGCATACAGAGAAGAGGAGACATGAAACAATGTTTATATTCTTCCACTTCATATGCAATATTTGCCCTAGACATATCTTGTATGATTATGATGTATTTTTTTTATATTTAATAGAAATTAAAAATAAAACAAAGCATCATCTGAAGAAAGGTTAACGCAAGTTAAAGGTGAGTTTCAATGTTTCATTCAATGGTTTAAATTCCAGAAAAGTGACCGTTCCCTTTTAAGCTAGTAGGCTAGTAGACTCGCTGCTGCTGTCACGGGTTTGGGCAGCGGTCTCAAGATTTTGTCCAGAGGAATAGAATTGCTGCCAAGTGTTGGACTATATATACCATAACATCTGAATGGCTAAAATCAGTTTTCACCTGTTACTTTCTTCCTGCGGAATTCTAGCAAATGAAAGAATTTAAGATCTGTATTTTTATTAAATTATTTATTTATTTTGCATATTTGTCATGCCTGTTTAAAGGATCACCATAGGGTCAGGAACACAAACATGTATTCCTGATCCTATAGGGTTAAACCCACCATTTAGGTGGTTTGCCCCCCTTTAGTCCCCCTATAAAAGTTTAAAACTCAACTTTTTATCCAGCGCCGCGCAGGTCCGCCGGCGCTGGCTCAGCCCCCTTTGTGACATCATCAAAATGGCCGATTTATAGCCAATCCAATGCTTTCCCATAGGGAAAGCATTGGATTGGCTAAAATCAGAATGGGGCGGGGCCAAATGCTGTTTTGGCCAATCCGGACCACCTCATAGAGATGCATTGAATCAATGCATCTCTATGAGGAAAATTCAGCGTCTCTATGCAGAGCGTGGGGACGCTGAACGGCAGAGCTGCTTACTGTGTAACCCTGAGCCAGGAAGCCCCTCCAGTGGCCATCTAAGGAGTGGCCACTTGGAGGTGTCTAGGGGCAATGTAAACACTGCCTTTTCTTTGAAAAGGCAGTGTTTACATGAAAATGCCTGAAGGGAATGATTCTACTCACCAGAACAACTACATTAAGCTGTAGTTGTTCTGGTGACTATAGTGTCCCTTTAATGAAAAAAGAAGTAGGTCACTGCCAGCTAGGAGTGTTTCTTTAACAGGAACGCATACATAATAAATAATATAATAAACATGCAACGTGTTTTTTTTTGTCCAGGTGCTGTGATTGGCTGACAAAGTTCAGCCACTTCCTTATTGCCGTCAAAGTGAGCACAGCAGCATCATGGGAGAGTGCCTACAGACATGACAATTTAGAGTTGTCTTTTATTTGTATTTATTTATTGGATGATGTATTGATTTACTTGTTTATTTTACTTTTATTTTAAATAGTTTTAATTTATTTACTGCATTAGATGCTTTAGGAAAGTGGCAAGGGCCAATTCTAAAATAGCCTTTATTTTTAATACTTTAATGCCAGAGATACAAACAATACAACAAGCAACAGAGTGGTTAACAGAAAAACATGTTATTTTGCAAGGCAGCTCAGTGGACATTCCTTTGTGTCTCGTAAAGTGAAACTATGGCTCGTTAAGTTATTTTAATAAATTACTGAAAGGAAAATAAAATCACCATTCTTCACAATTAAACCATTTTTTGTTTGGACCTTGGCATTGCCCATACAATTCGACTTTTCCAACTTCACTCCTTCCTCTAGTGCTGCCAAAGCTGAAATTATTAGTCTATGCTTCCCCCCTTTGGCGATGGTACAGCAGACGTTTGAGAGAAAAAAAAAATGACATTTCCTGTCTTTAAGAGGGACCTCATGTTAGGAATTCTACAGAAGGAACAAAGAAGAAACATTTCAGACCGGGGCAGGAGACAGAGAGAAAAGACCTAGGAATTGTGAATTGGACCCATTTCACATTTTATGCCGTATTCCATATTCTCTTCCTTTAAAAAATGTTTTTTAGACGGATTTTCCTGTTGCTACTGTGGGTGAGCCAAGTCCCCATCAGTCAGACTGAGGAGCAAGACACAGAGAAGAAAGTTGGAGAAGTTAAATCTGGAACAGAACTCCATTTTGAACATGAAAAAGAGGATGAGGACTTTAAAAAGGTGAGAAGTTTCTGAGATTTATATTTTTCAGCTTTTTTCTTTTGTTAATTTGACTTGGTTTCCTTTTGCCATACTGCAAAAGAAATGTATCAAACAGAATATTCTAATGCACTTACAGGTCAATAAACTGACCAATTTAATATGTCTTGAATATATGGCATTGGGAAGAAGAGAAATCGCGTTAAAGGTCAACAAGTGGGCGCAACTTTATGATGATGGGCAAAATCTTTATAAGAACAGACATCAACCAACCAGTTGTAATGTGTGTGCTGAAATAGTTTATTGGTGTCCTTTCTAAAAGACATCATCCAGTTCCTTAATGATATATAATGATAACTTTAATTTACCTTGATTTCACCATGTAAACAGCAAACAGTACCTTCCAGAGTAATGCACTAGTGGGGGGTATTTTTGTCATTCGCACTGCTGTACCATTATTAATTTGAGATGCTTTTAAAGTATCATTCCAGTGTATAGTTTAGAAATATATATTTTTAATGTATTAGTCAAATAACAGGGACACTGTATTAACCCTAAATCCCTCTACTTTGCACGTTTTCCAAGACATCTGATCTGCATCCTCTGAATATCAGCCAAATCAGGAACTGGCTGTGATTTACCAATCTCTGGCCTTCTGCAATTCATAAAAGAGAATCCGTGAGCATGTGTTTGCATGACATTCTGCGCATGCATAGTCAGCAAATTTTATTAGAAGGCAATAATCAACAGTTAAAAGACACTAATATGGGGAGGGACAGAAGGGCAGTGGAAGGGTAGTAGGATAAAGTAGGTGTCAAGAACGGGATTATGTCATGGAGAAATATAAAAACATAAAAAGTGGTATATATGAATATACATAAATATGGTCTGAAATGAAAGTACAGAATATATCTTGAAAATCAATATATACAGATTAATCACTAATCACTAACGTGAATAACAGTATTATTCAATATGTGTTTTCTTCAGATCTTCTTGGGTCCACTTCTACCTCCCAAAACAGTTTCTACCCAAATCCACAACATCACTATTGTCTCGGTAATAAAAAACGTAGAAAAGGTTGAGGAGGAGGACGAGGAAGAGGACGTGGACGCAGTCGATGAGGAGGAGAGTAGCAAAGAAAAGGAGGTTAAGAAAGACAACGAGAAGAATATTATTAAAGATCCTGTCCCAACAACAGCACCCGCAACTACACCGCCACCTGTGGATGACAACATTTCTTATGTCTGTAAGTGCTAATATGTTTCAAGGATCGAAAATGTCTTAACTCTGTCTCCTTTTGGGGGTCTTTGCATATTTTTCAGAGACCCCTGATGGTGACACTGTGCACTTGGGATACGGTGGCCTGGCAGATGTGAGTTATACTTACGTGATGCTGTACCCTACAAGCGCTGCCAACTTTAATCTTTAACTCCTGACACTTCATCTGCATGGAGCCCACATCAATGCTGTATTCTTGCGCATGCACAAGAGCACAACACTGATGTCTCTGGAGGATCACCACGAGACTGCAGGATCCGCCATAAAGATTATCTTGCGATGAGCAGGCCAATGCCCAGTTGTCACAGACGTTGCTAGCAATGGCTGCAATAAATGACCAAACTTCGCCTTTTCTCAAGTTTTGGCATTATGTATTTACCATAAGAAAAAGCTGTCCCTTATGTCTTATGATCTATTTTGACTGTGTTAACATTTTAAATAGATTCCAGTCTTTACAAACATTTCTATCTTTTTGGTGACATTGCTGCTATAAATACAACTGTTCACAAAACACTATGACGTTTATTTACCAAACACCGAATTACAGTGAATTTTAATTAAAATGTAAACTTATGCATAAAAACGCTGATCGTGAAAATTTCTCCAACGACAGTCACAACACAACTCTTTTAGACTGAATTTTGTCATTCACATTTTATTCAGTAAAGTCATTAAACCACTTTAGCAAAGATGCAAATCGTCAATGGTGTTTGTCAAATTTAGGAGAAAACAGAGTTAAAATAGCTTGTTTTTGTATTGTTTATATTTTTTTTCATGGGTAGCAAAAAAAATTACCCAAATGTTCTTGCACTCTAACTAATATGGCTGCCTGTGATTCTTGGGAGTCTTAATATAATAACAGGGAGCTGATTCACCATCTCCTCCCATACTTCATGTTTTAACTGCTAAACAGCTCACTTTCTCTCAACGGAAAAAAGAAGAAAATGAGGCCATTTTGGCTCCCAGAACACACCACAAACCACAGAAGCTGCCGTGTAGACTCTGGAGTATTTTTTTTATGACAGAAACAAGAGCAGATGAGACACAGTTCTCAGTATATTTTCCCTTTCACAGCATCTATTTTTTTCTCATGTTAGATGGAAAAAGGCAAAGATTTGAGTTTTCAGCTTTTTCTTTGGAATACTAGGTTTTACTATATAACTACTCAAACCCCCTCCTTCTTCCCCTCACTGTGAATACAAATAAGAAAATGCAAGAACAGAAAATATGACTCCTAAGAGATATTTGTGGAGATATTTTTTTTACCACATGTCGGCATTAGACATTCCTACAGTTTAACCCTTAATATTTCAAGGAGGAACAGAATTAATTTGTATTCAATATTCTGCAGACTTTTCGAGGACGTTAAAAAACCCAGGACATAAAAGAACAAATTGTGGGCTATTCAAGTTATGAACATGTTTAATCTATACCTTTTTTCTAGATTAATGTATAGATCTGTCGCCTTTGTCTGTTAGTAAATTCTTGGCCAAAGAGGCTATGCTGACAAAATAAACTGTATGCAAAGAATTGACTGGCCGCATAATGATGGCGAGTCCTATTAGATACAGTGTTCCTTTAATTTTTTTACACAAAAACTTGCAGGGTTGTTGGCAATTCAAAGTGGATTTTAAATTTAAAGGGACACTATAGTTACCAGAACAATTACAGCTTACTGTATTTGTTCTAGTGAGTATAGTCAGTCCCTGCAGACTTTTTGCAAGAAACACTGTCTTTTCAGAGAAAAGGCAGGGTTTACATTACAACCTAGGAACACCTACAGTGGCCACTCTCTGCATGGAGATATTTAACTATTCCCATAGAGATGCATTGATTCAATGCATCTCTATGAGGAGATAATGATTGGTCAGTGCGGCACGTGGCTCCTTCCCCCAGTCCTCCTCCTTGGCTGAGATCATCACATGACAATCGCAGTCAATCCAGTGCTTTCCTATGAAAAAACATTGTTATTGGCCGTGATCATCACCACTAGACATGTGCAATTAATTTCATTCCGAATGTAGATTCGGAATATTTTCGTGTAATTTGAACATTCGAAAGTCCGAAGTGCCGAAGTGCCAAAGTGCTTTCTGAAAAGTGGCAAAACAAGAGAGAGGGAGGGAAAATTATGTGAATGATGACAGGAATCTTGACCAATAAGCTTATTCCTGGCACTGGGAGCCCTAAAGATGTGTAAGTGGTTGTGGTGGCAATCCGGGCACTGGGAGCCCTATAGATGTGTAAGTGGTTGTGGCGGCAGTGCGGGCACTGGGAGCCCTATAGATGAGTAATTGGTGGCAGTCTGGGCACTGGATGCCCTATAGATGTGTAAGTCGTTGTGGTGACAATCCTGGCACTGGGAGCCCTACAGATGTGTAAGTCGTTGTGGTGGCAGTCTGGGCACTTACTAGACATGTGCAATTTGTTTCATGCAATTCGGACATTCGGATGCTTACGAATGTCCGAATTGACGAATTGACGAATTTCGGTAGTTTGGAAGTGAAAAACCGAACCGAATGCCATTGGTCCGAATTGCCGAAGCAGACAATTTTTTACTTACCCAAATTTCTGAACCAAACCAAATTTTTTGCCCATGCACATTCCTATTCACCATTTCTGATGATGTCAACAAAGGAGACAGATGAGAAGCAGGGGCTATTTCTACCAGCAGAGTAGAATAAAAGTAAAATGTTACTATGTTTAGAAGAGTGAGGGATGCAGGGTGGCTATATAGTGTTTTTAACACTATAGGGTCAGGAATTCTCCAAGTCAGATATGCTTCCAGTTTGGCTATTTTGGTCTAAAATTTGAAATCCCCTCTGAATTCTCACTTTAGTGAATAACCTTGTGAGACTGTGTTGTATTAATCCTATAGAAACCAATTTTATGTTCTCCCTGGAGAGGAGGAATATAAGAAAAAGGGACAGATGTCACTCTATTTAGACACCATTGCATCTCAGTGAAGTGGTCTGTTGCCCGTTCCTCTGGTGTTTCGTGGATATGGCAAAGTTTATATTGCGGGACTAAAATCACCTCTTGTGGCTGTTACACTGACAGCAGAGGTGGGGGACCTTTGGCCCTCCAGATGTTTTGGACTACATGTCCCATACTGCTCTTAGAGCCATAATGCTGGCAAAGCATCTAGGGAGATGTAGTCCACAACATCTGGACGTCCAAAGGTTCCCCACCCTGCACTAGAGGATGTTTCCGCAGTGAGAACCAAGTCCAATTTGGTACTTGACATTCAACGTCCTTACGCATTGCATGAGGACGTTGAACATCCTATAGTGCTTCTCTTAGAGAAGCATTGGATTCAGTACAGTTCAGAGGTGGCATAAATATTGAGGACTGATTAAAAAATTTTTAAAAAAGTATGTGAATGTGCACACTATTTTTTGCTGAAACTAACAGTGGTCAGGCCTGCTACTTGCTGTACAAATCTCATAAATTATAGCACATTCAAACAGCTCCCTTTAAAAGCCATGAGTCGACCAGGCCTGGTTGATTGGATTCAAGGCACACTTATTGCGTTAGATGCACATCATCGGTGTCAGAATGGAGTGACATCTGTCTGATTGGAGCTAGGGATTCGCAGGTTGGAGGTTTGTGGGGCTCTAAGCTACGGATTGATTGACAGGTGGTCGAGGTGATATATTTTTAACCTGCTTAAACTCAAAATCCATAAATTTCTTAGCATTTCTGCTAGCAAAGGAATAGAAAAAATATGCTGTGTATTTAAATTCTAAATTGCGTGTACTATAGCAGGTACACTTTAAGGGACACAGATCCTGGTAATTTGAAATTCGGCGAAGACATGTGAATTGCTAAATATAATTTTATATTTTCAGTGTCTCGAATAGCATCGTTAGAATCTGCTATCCACCGCCTCAATGTCCAATTTTATGGAATGGATGTGAAAATGAACCAGATGTCGCAAAGTCTTTCAAAGATACGAACTAAACTCTCTGAAGCAGAAGACACCATAACTACTGTATCTGAGCTGAATTCAAGGAATCAAAGACAGATTGGACAGATTGAAGGTACCATTGCCAAAACAGAAACATGTGTCAGATTCTTGTTTTCCAAGTTACTTTCGTGTCTTAATTAAAATTTAACAGGATACATCTTTCTTCTGATGACAAAGATTCTAATCAGCAGACACTTCAAAGTAATGTAGCACCCTTATAATATACACAGCTATTTGAATTACCCACAATTTTCTCACACACCAGCATATAATTTGCATAGAATAAGTTCAGATAAATGTATTAACAGGATTATTCCGTGAATTGTTAAGAACTCAAAGTGACGCTCTAATTTTCGGCAATTTCACTGCTTTGGCACGGCCTAAAATTTGTAATTCACTTTAAATTCATGCTTTAGTGCAGGGGTTCTCAGCCCAGTCCTCAGGACCCCCTACCAGTCCAGGATTTGGGGATTACCTGGGTGTGTCTCAGGCGTTTAGAAAAAGGGAAAAAAACACCTTAGACTCGAAGGTGTTTTTTTTTCTTTTTCTAAACACCTTAGACTCACCCAGGTAATCCCTAAACCCTGGACTGGTAGGGGGTCCTGAGGACTAGCGTTGAGAACCCCTGCTTTAGTGTATAACACCACAAGTGTTTTTGATTTTTAAAATATGGCCCCGGATCTCTGCAAGTAGTGTAGCTTTTTGGGGCAGAGTTGTAGGATGTAACACTGGTATATCTTTTTTTTCCATTTGTATGCCATGTAGTACATTGAAATTCTGAGCATTTCAAAGTGCAAAGACACATTTTGAATGAGAGATTCAATATAAAAGGAAAATAGAAACAAAATATAAGGAACAATCTCTTACTGGAATAAAGAAGAAAGTGGTTTGGGTCTTCAGGAGCATTGCGTTTGTTGTTGGTATGACACAAAGAAAGCAGGCACCTCGCCTCATGTAGAAAAACTGATAAAGAACAATCTCTGCACACTTCCTTTTAAATAGACACTACAGCCACTCTAATTGCTTCATCTCATTGAAGTGGTTATAGTGTTTGGAGTTCGCTGGCACCATCCTTCCATTCAGCGTTAAACAGTTTGTAATAGCTTAATGCTTAACGAACGTACCCAGAAGCCCTTCCCCTTTGAGCTGCTTGTGCTAATCTGCGCAGGAATGAATGGCTGTGATTGGTTGAGAGTGTCCACTGACTGCTTTCAGCCTATCACAGTGACCATTGTTGGCATAAATTATAAGTCTTAGCGATACCTCCAGTAAGCTCCAAGCTGTAGGCGGCCAGGGACCCTTATTTAGTGTTAAACTACTCAAAAAGGTTTTAGCAATGAATGGGGGGATGATATCATGGGACTCCAGGTACTATAAGCAGTTTAGTGAGAATAAATTTTTATAGTCCATATAGTGTCTGTTTTAATATGAATGTAGAATATTATTTCTATATTTTCCCTCTTTATATCTTGCCACTGAACAGCATGCTTATTAGACTTGTGCATTTGGTTTCAAACAATTCGCGGTTCATCTGAATTTTGACAGATCAGTGATTCGGCCAAACTACTCCACTCCAAATTCCTATATGGACGAATTACCAAACAAATGAAATGGTCAATGGACGAGTCGTTTAGTTTGTTTTGGGATTCTGAGTTTCACCTATGGTGCCAGGAAAAGGGAGGGAGATGGAGAAGAAGCTGAATTTTTTTTTTTTATTTAAGTACACTAATCCTGAAGTATCGGTTCATATGAATCGTTTTCAGTTTATATGAATAGTTTTTCCCAAAACGATTGCATGGGCAAAATTCTTTCAAACCAAAATACCTCATGGAGGAGGATCTACTATGTATGTGAATACTGAGAGGACGATTAATATGATAACATGCGTTGTCACATTCACCATTTCTAGTATTCACAATGTGCGGAGATAGTCTACTTTGTTCCATCCTCAGGTATCTGTATTTAATGGACACTCTAAACAACTACAGTACAAGACAACATTCCACAGAGTAGTATGTAAAAAATGTTATCCAACTGACCCACTATTCTTTTTTATGATCAATTCAGATGAACCAAATTTTATTGCCATGCATTAGTCTAACCTTTAAATCTCTTACCATGTGCATCGCGTCTCATACCTTAGAGTTTCTTCTGATTCTGTTACCTACATCATTATCACAGGAATGTTGCCTGCCGATTTGATAAAAATGTTTGCTCTATGTAGTTGCTTTTCACTTTCTCACTCATTCTTTCTTTCTACCTCCTTTCTTCCATAACTGACCATCCTCATCCTATTTTACAAAAATACTATTTGGTAGCAATCCAACAGGCTTGCTTAAGGATTCTAGAGCTTTGCGTTCATGACTAGTCTACAGCTAAACCTTACTGACCCTGGTGAACACTGGATGTTGTAAGCAAACTTACGCTGGCCTTTTATGGCCTACTTTAATTGTGTCCATTACTAGTATATGTCCAACTCCTGTTTATATGTCCCAAATCATGTTGTATGCATCCTGTCTTTTGAAATTCCAATGTCTAGGTTAGGGTGTGACCTCTTCCCTTCTGGGTAAATTTCTCCATTTGACTGTGTGAATAGAGATTAGCATGAACATTTTATTATAGGATTTAAATACCTTTTATTGAAACTGTTCACTTAACCTCACCTTCTCTAATGGGCCATACCAATAATGTGAACATGGAAAAAAAAAGAGGGGTGTTGGGTAATGATATATAGTCAGTGCACATATATTATTTGGAATGAAAGGACCAGAACTTCAGTTTAAGAAATAAACATTTTATTTTTACTTTATGAAAATTACTGCTATATTATTATTATTTACTGAGAATACCTGAAGAATTTGCATACTAAAATATTGATATTTCTCATAACTTCTAGGTTGTTTGAAAGGCAAACGTCTCTTTAGAAGGTGCTACCTAATATTCCAACATTTTGAGAATTATGCAACAGCTCAACAAAATTGTCACATCCGTGGTGGGAACCTGGCAATGCCTACAGACCAGCAAGAATTTGCCGCTTTAGCTCAGTACATTCACGATTCCTTCTTCCCCTTCAATTGGCCTATATGGATTGGAATTAATGATCTACGAGCTGAAGGGATGTACCTATATGAGAATGGACACCGAGTTTCTTTCTTCAACTGGTATAAAGATCACATGGTGACACAACCAAATGGTGGAATTCAAGAGAACTGTGTCTCTGTCTCATCTGATGATGGAAAGTGGTGGGATAATGACTGCTCTAGGAGGATGTACTATGTATGTGAATACTGAGAGGACGATCAATATGATTAGATGCTTTGTCACATTCACCATTTCTAGTATTCACAATGTGCGGAGATAGTCTACTCCGTTCCATCCTCAGGTATCTGTATTTAATTGACACTCTAAACAACTATAGTACAAGGCAACATTCCACAGAGTAGCATGTAAAAAATCATGTGCATTGGAACGATAAAGTGCACATATATAATACCCCCCCTCCAAAGGAAGTTGATAGACTCTTTGGCCTCGATTAAATATTGTTGGATAAGCTTTCCATATAAGTTAATATTTCGAAATAATCTTTTAAAATATCAATATATCAACAAATATCAGAATATTACAACATTAAAATGTTTTTCAGAATATTAAATAATTCTATAAGTTTATCCAAAAAAATTAAGTCATGTGAAAAGGGTATCAACAATTTTAAATTGAGGCCTTTGTCTTCAAAATGAGAAATGAGATACCAGGAAACTTACTGCTATACAAAACTCATAAATCCCTGCTGTGCAAAGGACTTTGGGAAACTATGGAGACTGGAAATAATCCATTCGCCAAAATTAGCTCAAAAGGTTTTACCCAGATGGAAACAGCTAATAGGGAAGTAAACAGAGCCTTGCACAAGCTTTTTTCCCATTAAAGATACACTACAGGCACCTTAGCTTAATCAACTTCAGTTTAATGAAGTAGTTTTGGTGTATAGATCATGCTCCTGCTGTCCCACTGTTCGATTCTCTGTCATTAAGGAGATAAATATCTTTTGTTATTGTTTATGTGGCCCTAGCCACGCCTCTCTTTTTATCAGATGTTAAATTGCTTCAGGTTTTATCTCCTGCAACTTAAAAATTAATTTTAATCAAGCAATTCTAGATTAAACAGACTGTACAATAAAGGAAGTTTAAATATTAGATGTCATTTTACAGGAAATTTTTAGGAAGGCTGTGCAAGTCACATGCAGGGAGGTGTGGATAGGGCTGTATAAACAAAGTGTATAAACTCCTAAATGGCCAAGAGTTTAATAGTGAGACTGCAGATGCATGATCTATACACCAAAACTGCTTAATTAAGCTAATGTTGGTTTGCTGACTACAGTGTCCCTTTAAAGTTATTTCAACAAGTGAAAGTATGTGTGCAAGCCAATTTCCAAATGACACAACTTCTCTATATTTCCCAGGAGTCCTTGAGCAGCAGGCGTTAATAGCAAACAAACACCACCACCATCGAAGACGATGGGAAGACCATGATTGGCTGTGATAGTCCATCAGCCATTTTTTGGCTGAAGATGACACCACTACAAAGGCAGCAGATCCTGGTGTTTTTGTTGAACATCAGGAACACTGAAAATTTTGCATTTCAAAAAATGTTAATGCATGTTTATGATGGATTAACCCACCCTGGGGTGTCTGTATAATGCATCAAATATGAGATAACGGTCTACACAAATTCAGAAACTGATGGATGATATATATGTTTAAGCTGTTTAACATTGTGATTGCTCTTCAAAGTTCAATGTAGCAATTTAAAGCGCAGGCTGTGTATTGATTAATAAACTTGAAACAAAAACCATATTAAATCCTCATTTTTAAAACTTCAAAGCATCTACAGTATATACTCGAGTATAAGTCTAGTTTTTCAGCACATTTTTTGTGCTTAAAAACCCCCACTCGACTTATACTCGAGTCACTGTCTGACTCTGATTATGGCAACTTAGAGAGCCGCGTCCGTCAGAGCCATGGCAGAGCTGACCGGAACGGAGGAGAAGGGAGGTGACAGGAGCTGCAGGAAAGGTAAGTAAATGCTTCCTGCCGGCCCCCCCATTTCACAGACCATGCCACTGGACCACCAGGGATTAAGATAGCCCCTCTCCCTGACCTGTTAACAAGCAGGGAGTGGGGACAAAAAAATAAATTAAAATAATAAAAAAATAATAATATTAAAATAAAAAAAATTAAAATAATATAAATGCCCTCCCCCCACCCAGTTCACACACACTACACAAACACACACTCTGCATTATGAGTGTGTGTATATAATGCAGAGTGTGTGTTTGTATGAGTGTGTGTGTGTGTATATAATGCAGAGTGTGTGTTTGTATGAGTGTGTGGATATATAATAGAGAGTGTGTGTGTATATAATTATAAAAATCACAGAATTTCATAGCCCCAAGTTTTACCCTCGACTTATCCACGAGGCATAGCATATTTCACAATTGTTGGTCACAAAACTGCACTCGACTTATACATGAGATCGACTTATACACGAGTATATACGGTATATTAAAAATGTTATTTAATAACTTCCATTGACTTTGTGAATAGTTTTTCTTTTTCATATTTATTATACAAGCTAACCTGCTATATAAAGCGGCCAAAATGAGATTTAGCCTACTAATCTCCACTTACCTTTCCTTCATCACCAGCACCATGTGAGCTATGGGCAATCCCTCTACCAAGCACAGATGTTAATGAGGTATTCATCCAGCAAAGAAGAGGGGGAGACTTTAGGTACACTATAGGTCTTTATTGAAACTGCAATAGCAGCCTACAATGATCAGAATTGTAAAGGTACATGTTTTTAATGAGATAACTGTTCATAATGGATTTGTGAATTATGTTAATGTACAGACACTATTCAACATTATCTTAACATGATGTAGCAATTTTTGGATGCATTCCCCAAAAATTCCATCGGTTTCCTTATTAATACTCACAAGCGGGATAAATGACCATTTTTAATTACCTAGTCACTGATACGTTATGTATATTGCAAAATAAATAATACAGAATTATCTCTGAAACTTTTATCCTAGTTAATTATGTCTTTGAAGACTAAATGAAAACAAAAGGCATACATATACATTTCAGCATCTTTGAACAGCAATCTAAACACACAAATGATTGTTGTTGATTTTTCTCGTTTTAAGTATCAACTATTTACCGTACGCTTCAAATAACTGTTATGCTTTTTTTAAAACAATTCTAACATTGGAACTATTCCACAAAACTGTTTTTACATTTGCAATTGCAGCAGTTTGCTAATTAAATGGTTAATTATATTTTATATAAGAGGTTTTTTTTCTTCCTTAGATCCATATCTCCCCCGCAACGTTAAAATAAAGCTTTTTTAAAAGCCTTTAAAACCCTACCTCAAACCAGCTCCAGGATAGACTCCCTGCAACCTTAACATTATCAAGAATCCAATCCTACACACACAGAACTGCCACTCCAATGCTGCTTACAGAGAAGCAGTTAATTCAATGCTTAGCTAAGAGAAGCATCAGTGGCTTGGTCATCGTCATGCTGTGAGTGACAATACCAAACAGGATCTACGAAAATCAAAAAGTCTGAAAGAGTAAATGCCTTGAGCAGAAGTCATTCTGATGGCCACTAGAGACATATGTTCAAACAAATGTAAACATTCTCAGAAATGGCAATGATATACATCAGGCTTTCCCAAACCTCGGCCCTCCAGATGTTGCTGAACTACAACTCCCATGATTCTCAGCCTATTTCATTCATAGAATCGATAGGTTATGATTGAGGCCATAGGGACAAATGTTTTACGTTGTGTTTTGTAGAAATGTTTCAAATAACTAAAAAATTCTAACTATATTGTAATATTGTAAAATGCTTTGGTAACAATTATATCATAAAAACAGTTTAGGGACAAACATGTATTCCCAATTCTATGATGTTCTAGTACAGGGATTCCCAACCCAGTCCTCACGTACCCCCTAACAGTCCAGGATTTAGGGATTACCCAGTTGTGTGTAAGGTGTTTTTAGAAAAAGAAAAAAAAACACTTTAGATTTAACAGGGTAATCCCTAAATCCTGGACTTGTTCTAGTATATAGAATTATTTTTTTTTTTTAAGTGTTTTCATTTCTTTATTTTCTGCGATATGTCGGTCTCACCATGGTCGCCCACTAAGGTGAGATCAAGAATCCCGATGCCCTTATGCACATGCCAGCAAATCGCCCCAGTGAGCCAATAAGCATATCCTCATGGCAGTGGCGGATCCGGGGGGGGGGTAACGGGGCAACTGCCCCCTCGTGAGCTGATGCTTTCCCCTGCAGGGCCGGTGCTATCAAAGCGCTGGCCCTACTGGGTTCCTTCACGGACCGGAGGGGAGATCAGAGATCTCCCTCACCAGTTCGCTGGCACATTGCTGGGGGCCGGCAGGGGAGGGAGACCAGGGAGCTCTAGCTTGCAGTTCAGCCGGGTCTCCTCTTGCGAGCACGGAGCATTGTCGCGGTTACCATGGCAGCGCTCCATTCTCTCGAGAGTGAACTCTAAGGTTAAGTTACAGTATATAATCAATACTGACGTTGTGGTAGGCTTATGCAGTGTATGATGCATTTACTATAATTAAACCCCCATTATTTTTGCCTAGAATAGATGTAAAAAAAAAAAAAAAAGACTATTACATTCTGTGAGCTTTGAAATTGCTGTTTAGTGAATGAGTGAGTGTGCTGGATGTTGTATGAATTGGCCTCAGCAGCAATAATGTGTACAGGTGAATGCAGCCTTCATGGTATTATTGAGATATGTATTAAGGCCTTTTGGCCTGTAATTGTGGGAGGGGCGTATGACTCACCTTCTCCCTACTTAAGGGACACCCCTTACCTGGCTCCATACCGTTCGAGGTCAGCGCTGCATCGAGAATCCACATCCGGTTCACGTACGGCGCCATCTTGCTTTTCAAAAACCCGCGGTTTTCGTTTGGTGTAGCTGTGTCCAGGAATCCTTACAGGTTTTCCGCCCGTTCAGCCACGCACATACCCGGTGTTTTCGTCGCAGATTAAGTCCACAGGACTTCAAAATCGTAAGTCCGTCGCCTGGATCATTTCCCACGGCGTCGCGATTTAAAACGGCCTTACTTTACGGCCACACGCTTTACGGCCAAGTCACAGGCATATTAACCCCTTTGCTGCCGGCAGGCATATCGGTTTCGGTTTTCTTGTATTAAGCAACTTGTTCTGCATATCAGCAGCTATAGTTGGTTTCATGTCATTACCGTCATTTATTTTATGCAAATTACGAAATCCTTGCATATGACTGGGGCAATACCCCTGTTAACTACTTATAAATAAGTATTTATTTAGGTTATGGTTTAATCTTTTAGCAGATATGGCATTAAAGTTTTATTGAAATTTTTCATGTTGTATACATATATTTATGGAGTTAAGCTTAGACAAGCTTTTACATTTTACAGATATCTCTTGTAGGATTTACGTTATAAATTATGTTTAGAAATTACGTTTCTATCATACCATGTACTCACGTTTCTTACATGGCACTTATATATTCTGACTTTTTCTTTGTGTACTCAAACGACATACCAAGTACACAAGAACACGGTCTCATAAAATCTCACAAACTTTCGGGTTGAATCACACGTCTTGATTCAACCACTCATACGTCACGTTGTTTCCTAATTTGGGATAATTTCTCAAATATTTCTGTACCTCGTACTTACCTCTTTTCATGGCTTACGTTTACGGCCTAACATATACGGTATTGTTTTAAATCCTGCACCTTATTATACTACAAACACTAGCATTACTATATCATACACATTAATCTTGTCACCATAAGAGACATATCATACACACCCCCAAGCATGATTACCATACCACATACAGGGCCAGTCGGGCCAATATCATTCATGTATTCCCCTTCCATATGTACTACTAGAACTCATCACAACTAACTAGTCTAAATTGGTATCATAGGATCCAATTCTCACACTATCATATTTGGTTTTTCTATCCCTTTAGGTTTTTTCCAGTTTTCTCTACCTATCGCTTATCAAACGCATACATACTACCAGGTACGTTAAGCCTGCTCACGCCATACATCACATATGGCTCCTCCTCTACTTAGGACATAGAGTACTGGCAATTTTAGGGGTTATAGGCCCAAATAGGTATCCCCCCTCCGGGCATTCTGCCTATCGTTTAGTGGTCCGCGAGGCCAACACCCCGCCTCAACGTTTCGGAGGTAATGCCCCCCGGGCCACACGTGAGTTAGCCGCCTCGCATTATAGAGAGGGTGCCACCTGTCACTCCCTTCCCCTGTTTTCTTGTATTGTCACCGAGAGGCCTACGAATTCCTGCCACTACGTCGGGTGGCCTCAATAACCCCTCGCGCCAACGCATAGATAGAGCCTCTCATAGCCACTTGGCAACTAGCAGGGCCTCACCTGTCACCAAAGAACAAGTTTAATTTTTCGCCTCATCCGGCATAATTAGCCTGCCAGTACATCCCCTCGGGGGTTTTTTACGCTAACCATATACTTTGTAATCTAGTATGTCTCAAGAAGGGGTAGAGGATTTCTCCATCCCAAGGACTCCGGCTAGAACAAACACCCCATCACAGGAGGAAGATACGGCTAGTCCAGCATCTTTCAGATCATGGACTATCCCTCGTATCACTAGCGAACTCAGGAGACGACAAATCCCTTTTCCAGCAACAGCAAGGAAAGCGGAACTTTACAAATTATTACACACCTCAACCGATAACGTGGACGCTGGGGAAGGGTCGAGCCAGTCCCACCCAGGAAACATACATGACATGCTCACGTCCCTCATGACATCCATGAGCAAGGTCAATTCTAGGCTGGAGAAACTTGAATCGGTCACTACAGCCCTCACTATGGCTGGACCGGCCACGGCAATTCCCCATCAGTGGTGGAGTCGCAATCAGTTTCTCCAGCTATCACCTCGGATGACCAAGAAGTTTACCCTGCCCACATGATTCCTGAGCACCTCAGGAGAGATATCCTGGAAGGTAAAGATGTCAATCTGGCCTCACTACTAATTGCCTCCCAGGATATAGTGGAACA